TTTAGTAAATGTTCAAATTAATGGAGTTTCTCTACTTTGTTAAACGTTTATACATGTGTATCTAGCCTTAATCGCTTATATGCATTTACCCTTTTAATTAAAATTATTATTAAATTATTTGAATAAAAATTATGTTATTTTTCTTATAGCATATTATAAAACTATTTTTATTATGCTTCAAAGGAAATGTTCAGTCATCCTTATAGGTCTGTACCAATTCATCAACTGTAGCTATTACGTTTACTAAATATTATCAATCAATTATAAAACATACACTTCACGATACACCTACCTTGTTTTAGACACCAATTTCTGAAAAACATGTTACGAAATTGTTTTATATAAGACGGCTACTAGAAAGAATAAATAAATATCGTTTATCTATATATCGCTCTGGTGTTTTCTAAACTAAATAAAAAATAGCAAATGTATTTGGAAATCTGCAATCTATCTAGAATGAATGTCATTAAATATAGTATGTAATTAAACAAACAAACTTACTATTATGTTTTTTTATTTATTTGTTTTCATTTGTATAATTTACCCATTTTTACTGATTTCAATTCAAAAAATATCAATGAGTTTATCTGAATTAAATACTTTCAATTGAAAATATGTTTTGTATGTGTATTTCTCCATTAATATAAAAATAAAGTGTCTATAGTTCTTGAATCTAAAATATTTCATATTTTGTTGAATAAATATAATTATATTATAATTCATAATATTTTTATAATAAGAATATATACAGCAAAACAATATATGTATTATAGGTTCTGTGACTATTTCAGTGTTTTAATTTGTTTATTTCTATTTGTACATGTATATGATATGAAAATAAAGTACTATTACTTTTAGATACTGCTTCAGCATTATATATAATAAACGAAGCAAATAAAAATATGCAAATCATCAAAGATCTCCCTTTTTGTTAATTATTAATTGATTTAATCAATCTTAAAATATAAAACATTACTAATGATCTTAAATTGTCCCAACACTATTATCTTTGCATGCTAAATATCAAGATTTTATATCACGTCATCCCTAAAAAACTATATACATGAACATTCAGTATTAATATCTTACACGTACGTATATTGTATGTTATTCACGTGTAATTTATAAATATTAGTGTATACCTACATGTCCCTTATACTCATGATTAATAGGCGTTTTTTGATCTTATATATAATAGGATTAAAAATGTCTTTTATTCTTAGTAGAAGGCAATTCTTGTCAGATGTTGTATAACATTTGAAACACGAACTTACTACTCATATGCCTGAATTAGTAAGTTCGTGACTATTATGTACACCATAAGTTTTCGCTGCATAAAAATAGTAATAACTCAGTAACTACTTTTTAAACATCAATTACTTTTCTTCTATATGATCTCAACCATTTCGAAAGTACTTTTTAAAGAGCAAAGCCGCTAAATTGCAACCACATTATTATAGATACAGCTGTAGCTCTGCCATAAAACCACAACTCGATTAGGTTACTTATCCGCATTTCAAACATCTAGTGCAGTTGTTTTTTGTGTAAATTTACGTTAGTTAATGATTTTTAATAGTAAAAATAGGTTTAATTTATAAAAATGTCTACATTAAATCTAGACACATATGATGTAAAATAATAAATAAAGTTGATAACAGCCTTTAATGTCATTGTGGGCAAAGATACTATCTAAAATCATCATCCGCATATTATGATCGAAATATAGTCTAAATCTTTGCATATTGTGGTGTGCGCTTCTTTCAGTATCTTCCATTGAATCTTCTAAATTCAATTCGTACACAAAATATCAAAGTATTTACCATACCTGCTTATTCATTGATATCATCGACACAGTCCTTACAATTGAGGCCGAGACCCAATGTGGCCTTATTTAATTATCTCACTTCATTATATTAATAAATTGTATCCTATACACAATGCACAGACACAACCATAATAAGTCTTTCTAATATTTCTGTAAAGAAGTGTTGTGACTAACGCACTTAATACTAGAAATAATGACTTGACAGACGAATTCTAGTTAACCCACCAAGCAATAAAATTTCAATATTATTACAAACAGTGCACTCATTTCCTTCAGACTGATTTCATGGAACGTAAGCCCATGTTTGATCGTACTAGTTCAAGTCGATTTCGTTAGTAGATAGATATTATTAATATCAATCATTTAGCAATGTAGAAGTTGTATCGGATTACTGGTAAAACATATTATATATAGTCAGACATTTACCACCACTGAAAAAAACAAATACAATTTGAGCCAATTTTCATGTTCCACAAGTAGCCATTTCAACTTGGTAAAGGACAGTTACTGTAGAGGTCATCGCTATTGCAATGAGTACGTGAGAAAAACAAGTACTTATATTAAATGTACACCAAGACAGTTAAATGACAGCGGTACAGATCGAATAGAAACTGCCATGATTTGTACCGGCCTGTGTACCAGAAACTCAGAAGGAAAGCACTACCTCCTGTGTCAAAGACCAAGCGTACTTTTATTTGGTTTAAATAGAGACTAATAGCCTTTATAGTTCCTAAAAATGTTCTAAATTATATAATATTTATGAATTTGAAATTTACGTTTATATAATATTACCGTTTTGAAACAATATTTATAACAGTAATATATTCTAGTGTAATGAGGTACCTTATATTACAGATAACTCAACTTAATATTATATCATTAGTAGCAAGATAATTGAATAATATTCTAAACACTAAGTAAGTATGTAACTACAACTTATTTGGGGTATTGACAGCTGTCAGTATTATGAATCGTTTTGTACAGGTGTGTAGTCATATTACAATCCGTTGTCAAATATCAATTAATATTCAAGGGACGCGGTCATTTTCACTATCCGCAAATATTATATTGCTTATCAAACACTCTATAGTAAACTACGTCATAATACATTGCATTTGCGCAAATAATCCATTTTATATCCAGTATATACATTTTAAGATCTGAAATTTTTTTATATTTTCTCTTACTTACTTCTGTTACGCATTAAAGTAAATGCAAGTGAAGACATATCGAACTTGCATTAAAATTCTTCTATCTAAGCAATTGCTTCCTAATAATGTTTACCGTCATTGCAAAGTAATTTTGATTTAGATTATAGTATAAGCCAATGGAGACTATATGATATAACAAAACAGATTTCTATTCCCGTAACAGATTGTTAATTAAAGCGAAACTCAACCCTTATTAAATTCAGATTTAGTCAATTTATTCAGATTGTTTCGAATCGTGACTAGTATATCGTATCGTTATATTGGTACGAGCCATTACGGTATAGGGTATGGAAACGTACTTTTAGACACTATGTTTTCGAAGATTTTAACATATATTTTACTCGCACATTTATTTAACCAAAAATATATTTTAATCATTTTCTAACCTTGAAGATTATACTGAAATTATTTTTATAAATTAATAATAATAATAATGGTGCCTTCATTTCAATGTCATGCATTAAAATAAGCAGTATACGTACTAGTCACATAGCTCTATATTACACCTACACATGATCTTGCTCAAAACTGGATTAAAGTTATTTAGCACAATGGCAATTAATAGAACGTATTAGTAATACTGTTGTTAAAATTATTCCTTTAGGTACAAACAACAACAGTATTACTATTTTTAACTATTTTATGAGATATTAACCTCTCAAAATAGCACATACAAGTGAAGTTCTTTTTAAAATGCTTCTTAATGTATATTCGTAGCTCTTAAAATCGTAAAATAGTAGCATTTCTAGTACATTATTACATTGTATCCAATGATCCTATTATATTAATATCTATCATAAACAATTTATTTAATTACAGGAACACTCCAACTGTGGGATGAAAAATGTTTAAACAAGAACTATTTTTACTGGTAGTTTAAAAAAAATATATACTTAATAAACACTAAATCTTATTAAACAATAAAATCTATGGTATAGAATGTACAGCTATGGGGATACTTATAATGAATATTGTTAAATCTGTACCCGTGAACCAATCCATATTCGTTAATTATTATAACTCATACAAATTATAAATACCTAAGAGAAGCTTTTCTATACACGGTAGGTTTCGGTTTTTTTCTACAGTTCAAAGTTCTTAATGGTAAAATTAGTAACCTGGTACAAAATGATACGTAGCAATACATGAGTGTACTGTAATGTAATGGCTATTGCTTTGTATCAAATGGACCGACAACACGTTTGTTTTATAAAAAATAAACAATATTTCACTAAACAATTGTAGGGATGTCTTCTCTAATTACACGTACATTATTGTAAAAATTATTACTTTATTTTCTAAATAATTGTTATTTTTTAATTGACGATCTATCAATACTTGTAGTCTCTATTAGTGAAATGTTTTAAATATAGTATTATGAATTTATAATCAACTCATAATTGATAGAGAATTTATGTAATGGCGACAAGCCCAGTCATTGACATTTAAGTCAAGGTGAACAAAGACAGTGCAACACTCACAACACACAACACAAATAATGTCCCAATTGTTTTGCTTATGAATCAATTCCAGGTAATAGAATTTGTTGTAGTAATAAGAAACAAGACTAGGTAAACGGAGAAAATATATTAATATAGACTACTGACAATTAGAAATAGAGTGAAAGGAATTGAAGTATCAAAAACAAGAATGTAATATAAAGAACTATAAATTCAAAGACAAATTTAGAATATATTACATTTCTTCATTAGCCAGTTACAACAGAATTAATATGTAGGAACTTATTTAACCAGTACGAATATAGATAATAATTACTATATATTTGTACTTTTGCTCCTTTACAGGTATCCACTACGAAATTACAAATCCGACTTTATAACCGAAACCTTGGATAATTACTATATTATAATACGTTATCGTTAATCAATTTTGTTTTAATAGACTTTTTTAAGTTTATATAATATATTGTTATATTTTATAAAAACGACACGAAGTGTAGGTACATAGATATTTCAGCACGTAAAAGCGATAATGACAATATATTTAGAATAAACGTAAATATTACATGGAACATTGGCCAAAAAATTTAATCTTCTTATTTAATTGAAAATTTTTTGTAGCAATGTTTAAAATTACTTTAACATGTAGTTTTTATTTTAGGTTTTATTGTCGTCATTGGAAATTTTCAATTAGTTTCCTATAAAGTTCAGTGAATCGATCAGTAGTTATTGCCGTTAAAAATTTGTACATAGGTACGCACCACTTCCTCGTTACCATCCATAGATTCCTTTGCGTGTGATGTAATATCGCGGGCATGAATTTCACTTTTTTGTGTTTAGTCATCACTCAATACGTTCTGCATGATGTATATGCGGTAAGGTCTATTGGGTCATAGATTAATAAGTAGGCGATAATTTAAGTAATTGACACTATCATTAAATTAGCAGATTCTGTGATACCGATAAGTACCTTAATAATCTAGGATCTTTTATTCTAGACACAATATAATCGGATCCCGAGCATTATTTCTATTTGTTTGTCATAGTAAAAAGTAAATATATGTAGATTTAATTTTATATACATACATATATATAAAATAAATAATTGCCTATTTTCTGCCATTAATTAATAATAACAATAGCTACCTTTGTAATCTTTATTGCTTTTTCCTATTAAACCTGAAATATTATTGTATTACATTATATTATTCTGGATTACTGTTTTTACAGCGTTATAACAAAGACGTCATATGCGTTATTGATAGGGTATGTCACGTTTGGGTTAACCACTATGATTCATTTTCACTAATATTCATGCTGAGTATTGTATGGTAATAGTAATAATGTAACTTATATCCTCTTCAAAACCTTTGATGCTAAAAACAAAGGTAGTACTTGACAAAACTCTCCTCCTATTCATATATATGTTTGGTACCTAATCCATACAAAGGTAAATACTATTTTTACTATAAGTATTACCTAAGACGAAAACATACAGAACTTTTTTAATAGTTGATAAATTTATCTTTCTATTATTTTATTAAAAAGCTAACATAAAAGTAAAAACACTATCTCTCTCATCAATCGAGCCATTTAAAATATTTCAGGGCCAAAATCCCACATGTAAAGCGATACCATCATCGAGCCGACGCAATGCCAATTTAAGAAACAATGACGCTATGCCAACGTACGACCCATACATACCGAGGACAAATGTAATATTCTACAATTGTTCATCCTCTGATTGTAAAACATTCCGACTACATTCTATAACGGAAGTTACATCTCCTGAACTTATGTTAAAGGTATGCTTTCTAGAATCAACCGGGACATACGAATGTGAAACAGTCAGATACAATCACCTCAAAAACGTAGACAAACTATTGTTTTTAAATAACAACATAAAGAATAAAATATATTATATTGTCGATTGTTTAGTTTTTGAAGATCGAGGTCGTGTATGTCACCGAAGAAACGGTAATAATCCTCATACAAAATTAGTCGACACTGGTAGTATAGTACGACCTAAAGAACCAAACATCTTGTCTCAGCATGAATTTATATGCGAAGAAGATCAGCAAGGGTTAGTTAATTGCGACATTAATCCATTTATTCCATTTGATAACACTCTTAAACTTAAACAGATATGATCACTGACAATAATGTGTTGCTGAAACAGGAAATTACGTATTGTCTTTAAAGAAGAACTGCGTCGATGCATGGTGCGGATACAGGGAATAATATCGCGATTGTCAGGAAGGCGATACAGCAGATATGAGCCACCAGGCGGTAAAGTGTATCGGTGCTATTATGCTAAAAAACAACAAATATGCAAAGAGCTATACGGCCAAAAGAAATCCATCTATAATGAACGTGCTTGGTTAAGTACGTAATATTTATTCATAGATTCCATTATACGACTATATTCAGTTAAAATACATATGACTAGTATTGAATTGATTTCAAATTGGTGATATGTTTAAGTAACCACTAACTGGACTATTCTCAGAAGCATGTCGCAAGCACAATCATAATAGTGGTCGAAACTAGTTTAATGTGAGCGGAACTATTACCAACTATGTAAGTATTGGAAATATACTCAATATTTGCAAGAAATTTTTTATTTTTTAACATTGTATGAATATATGCGAGTACATACCTAATATTTAGTTTATTGATACATCCAAGAAGAACCTAACGAATTGATAAAAAATAATGTTTTCTATTCAAATATTAATTTCATAATTTATAATAATAAATTAAAAATAAATAACTGTTATAACTGTATATCTGCGATAATTTAAAATTTAAAAACATTTCTCTCAAATTACACATGATATTGTAAATAAAAAGCCTCATTATTTAACGTCAAAATATACTGGGTCAGTACTAGTGCTTGTCTTGGTCGATGTACCCCGAGAGTGAAAGTGGACAGCGACCCGATCTTTACAATGCTTGGAATTACATACAGGACCCGGTTTTATGTTATAACATGACATTTCGACATAGGTACCTGCTACAATAAATTTGTTATTGAACCATATATAAGTTTAAAGGAATTTTTATGTGGATTTAAACAGTTATTAAAGTTCATTATTAAAACTTATACTTGAAATAGTAAGTTATCTAAAAAAATATTTTCTATCTAAATTTATTAAAAAATCCATATCAGAGTTAATGGTTAATTTAAATTAAGTAACTTTTCCAGTTTATTATGTTTTTATAGAAACTATTAGGTGCAATTTAACCACATAATGCATATTAAATCTTTATAGTAGTTAGTAGTAGTTACGGACTACAGAATAAATCCGTGATATTCTGCAATCTGTATATATTTTCTAATTAAACAAAAACATCGCAGAGGCAATAGGAGGTAACAAAAATTAACTAGAAACTATTTAAGAATGAAATTGGGACTATAAAAAGCATTAGTATATTAAGTTATTATATTATTTGTTTATTACTGCACGAAAGATTATTTGGCAAAATTTTATTCTTTATTAGTTACTTATGTACTTAATGTTTTACATTTTATGCAATGATAGGTTGCATAAGTATTAGATGTATTATAGATAAATGTATCCTTGTATGCGTGTACTTAATCAAAAAATTAGATCTACTTAGTAACCAATATATGAATCTAGCAAATGTAATTTGTAATTGCCTTTCTTCTCCAATACATCTGTATGCGGAACAATACTTGATTACCGATATGGGTTTTGAAATGCTTTATTTGTATTGTTTATTTTTATAATGACAGAACGACAATTGACGACATACATAATTATGTAGTCAATTGTGTACTATATATAGTACACAATTAGTAGACGGCCCACAATATACGGATATTATGTATCTGTATATTATGTATATGTATACTACATAATCAATATATATACAGATGTCTGTATATCACAGATAATATAATATTACATACTGTATATATATACAGACATCTGTATATCTGTATATATATTAAGTATTTTTAAACAAGGTATGTGTGTACGTAAATATTACGATTACAATTGTTCTAAACAGACTTTAATTTCATTCTTAGTGAAATCCAAAATGTTATTCTATAAGATTTTTGTAATCTTATATTTTTTTCTTTTTTTCACTTTTATTCAAGAGTCTAACAAGTAATGCCCAACTGTCCTACTAACCTAATAGTCATGTTTCAGATGTTTACAACCAAGTTAAAAAAGAGAACTTTTTCAATTTGATTTTCTTTTTATGTATATTATTATGTAATATACCGATTTATTATAATATTATAAACGCGAAAGTTTGTAAGTATGGATGTTTGTTACTCTATCACGCAAAAACTGCTGAACGGATTTTGGTAAAACATTTACAATGCCTATACATCAGAGTAACACATAGGCTATATTTTATATTGAAATTTAACGAG